TCAATGCCTCGACTGATGACGGCCAGCATGCTAAATGCCTTCTTCCCCCTGTCCACCTATGATACTGCTTTCAACAAACTATGTCCTTGTATTCCTAGGTCCCTCTGTTCCACAACACTCCTCAGGATCTTACCATTTACTGTATAAGTCCTACCTTGGTTTGACTTTCCAATGTGCAACACCTCATACTTATCTGTGTTGAATTGCATTTGCCAATCCTCAGCCCACTTCCCCATCTGATCAAGATCCCTCTGTAATTTTTGATAATCTTTCTCGCTATCAACGATATGTCCTAATTTTGTATCATCAGCAAACTTACTAATCATGCCTTGTACATTCGCATCCAGGTCATTTATGTAAATAACAAAGGTCCCAGCACTGACCCCTGTGGCACACCACTAGTCACAGGCCTCCAATCCAAGAAACTACCTTCAACCATCACCCTATGCTTCCTACCATCGAGCCAATTTTGAATCTAATTAGCTAGTTCTCCCTGGATCCCATGCAACCTAACTTTCATGATTAGCCTGCCTTGCGGGACCTTGTCAAGGGCCTTACTAACGTCCATCTGCTGCCCTACCCTCATCTATCCTCTTGTTTACCTCTTCGAAAAACTCTAAAAGATTTGTCAGACATGACTTCCTGTGCACAAATCCATGCTGACTGCCCCTAATCAGACCTTGACTATCCAAATATTGGTTGATCCTGTCCCTCAGTATCCTCTCCAATAACTTGCCTACCGCTGATGTCAGGCTCACTGGCCTGTAGTTCCCTGGCTTGTATTTGCTACCTTTCTTAAACAATGGAACGACATTAGCCACCTTCCAGTCTTCTGGAACTTCACCAGGGGCTAAGCATAAAGCAAAAATCTCTGCAAGGGCCTCTGCAATTTCTTCCCTAGTCTCCCACAATGTCTGAGGATGGAATTGATCAGGCCCAGGGGATTTATGCACTTTAATACGCTTTAAGGCTGCAAACACCTCTTCTTTGGTAATAACGTATGCAGTCCAAAACATGACCACTTGTTTCCCTTATTTTCTTAGCATCCATGATTCTCTCCTCAGTAAATACTGAGAAGAAACATTCATTATAATCTCCCCCATCTCCTGTGGCTCCACACATAGACGGCCATGCTGATCTTTAAGGGGACCTATTCTCTCCCTAGCCACACTTTAATCTTAATATAGCTGTAAAATCTCTTGGGATTATCTTTAAGCTTATCTGCCAGATCCATCTCTACCCTGTTTTTGCTGTTCTGATTTCCCTCTTGAGTATGCTCCTACACTTTTTATAGAACATAGAACATAGAACATTACAGCGCAGTACAGGCCCTTCGGCCCTCGATGTTGCGCCGACCTGTGAAACCAATCTGAAGCCCATCTAACCTAAACTATTCCATTATCATCCATATGTTTATCCAATGACCATTTAAATGCCCTTAAAGTGGGCGAGTCTACTATTTTTGCAGGCAGGGCATTCCACGCCCTTACTACTCTCTGAGTAAAGAACCTACCTCTGACATCTGTCCTATATCTATCACCCCTCAATTTAAAGCTATGTCCCCTCATGCTAGCCATCACCATCCGAGGAAAAAGGCTCCCACTGTCCACCCTATCTAATCCTCTGATCATCTTGTATGTCTCTATCAAGTCACCTCTTAACCTTCTTCTCTCTAACGAAAACAGCCTCAAAACCCTCAGCCTTTCCTCATAAGACCTTCCCTCCATACCAGGCAACATCCTGGTAAATCTCCTCTGCACCCTTTCCAATGCTTCCACATCCTTCCTATAATGCGGTGACCAGAACTGTACGCAATACTCCAAGTGCGGCCGCACCAGAGTTTTGTACAGCTGCAACATGACCTCATGGCTCCGAAACTCAATCCCTCTACCAATAAAACCTAACATACTGTACGCCTTCTTAACAACGCTATCAACCTGGGTGGCAACTTTCAGTGATCTATGCACATGGACACCGAGATCTTATAGTCATCTTGGGATTCACTTGAGCCCGATACTGGCCCTGGACTCTTGATATGACACTTTTAAAAGCCTCTCATTTGCCAGTTGTTCCTTTTCCTTCAAGCAGACACACCCAATCAACCTCTGCTAGATCCTGCCTAATGCCCTCAAAATTGGCCCTGCTCCAGTTTTGCACCTTAACCTGTGGACCTGTCCTAACTTTTTCCAAATCCACGTTAATACCAAGAGAGTTATGGTCGCTGGACCTAAAGTGCTCTCCGACTGACACGTCAGTCACTTGCCAAACCTCATATCCTAAGAGGAAATCCAGCGTTGTAACCCCACCCCCCTGCCCCGCCCTCCCCTAACAAGTGGGGCCCTCTACATATTAATTTAGTCAAGTTTCTTGGACACGTTTGACAAATTCCACCCCTTCCTGGCCTTTTACTCTCTGGGTGGCCCATCAATACAGGGGAAATTAAAATCTCAAACCAATACAACTCTGTTATTCTTACAGGTATCTGCAATCTCTCTGCACATCTGCTCCTCTTGCACTTGCTGCCTATGTGGGCGTCTATAATACAGTTCTAGTTTTAACCATATGGCCTCATTTGATGACCCTTTAAGAATATCCCCTCTAAGCACTGTTGTTATGTCCTCCCTTAACAAAAGGTCAACTCCCCCTCCTCACTTACTTGTACTTCTGTCACGCCTGTAGCTTCTGTATCCTGGAACGCTGAGCTGCCAGTCCTGCCCTTCTCTCAGCCCTGTTTCTGTTACGGCTATAATTTCCCAGTCCCCGGAGCCAATCCATGCTCTGAGCTCATCTGCCTTACTAGTCAGGCCTCGTGCGTTCAAATCTTTTCCCTCCCTTTACTGTACCTCTGGCTATCCCGAATAGTAAATTTGTTCTCGCTAGCTAATGTGTCTTGTCCTGACTTCTCAATGGCCGCTCTCTTACTCAGAGTCCCATCTCCCTGGCACACTAGTTTAAACCCTCCCGGGTAACACAAACAAATCTCCCCACAAGGATACTGGATCCCCTTCTTCATCTGTCTTGTATAGGTCACCTCTACCCCAGAAGAGATCCCAATGATCCAAGAACTGAAAACACTTCCCCCTAAACCTGCTCCTCAGCCATGCAGTCATCTGCCTATCTTTCTATTTCTGTCCTCGCTGGGAGTAATCTGGAAATCACTACCCTTGAGGTCCTGCTTTTTAACTTCTTACCTAACTCCCTATACTCATTTCACAGGACCTCCCTTTGTCTGCCTATGTCATTTGTACCGATGTGCACAATGACTTCTAGTTCTTCACCCTCCCGATTTCAGAATGTTCTGCAACTACTCAGACATCTTTGACCCTGGCACCCAGGAGGTAACACACCATCCTGGTGTCTCTTCTGCAGCCACAGAATCTCCTCTCTGTCCCCCTCACAATTGAGTCTCCTATCAGTATCGCTCTGTCTGACTGTACCCTTTCCTTCTGAACCTCCGAGCCAGTCACAGTGTGCCACTGACCTGACTACTGCTCATAGTTCCTGCAATGTCATCCACTCCTCCGACAGTATCCAAAGCTGTATACCTGTTAGAAGGTAATGGCTACAGGGGAACCCTGCACTATCTGCCTTCCCCCTTTTATCTGTTCTGTTAGTCACCCAGCTACCTGCAGCCTGCACCTTAGGAATGACCACTTCTCTATAGCTCTTACCAATGATGTTCTGTGCACCCCGGATGATCCTGCATGCATCCAACTCCAGTTCCAGTTCCCTAACACAGTCTGTCAGGAGCTACAGAGAGGTTAGTAGACCATAAAGTGCTGAAGACTTGCTAGACGTGTACCTTACCTGGGGTTGGGATCAGATGGAGGCCATTAGGTTCCACGTGCTTCTGATTCTGTTCACAGCTCATCCGTTTAATTAACTCCCTTCCATAATGGCCTGGCAAAAAAAAACTCATTCTTAGTTTTGAAATTTTCAACTGAGCTGCAGGTTTTTTGGAGTTAGGTGGGTGGGGACCGGAGGTGGGGGAGGAGAGAGAAGAAATGTTCCAAAGTCTCCACTACCCTCTGTGCAAAGCATTAGCCCACAGCACCACCTAGTAACTGGCTGACTCTCACTGTAATGTGAAGGACAACTCTCCTCTCCAGCTGAGAACATCGGCTTTGGGAGTGAGCTGAAGTGCAAACTAAGTAATCAACAGCTGACTTTTTGTTTCCAAAGGCAAGGTAACCTCCATGACAGGATGCTGCTTCAGTCCTGCCTCCCACATGATAGAACAACTTCATGTCTGAATTTGAGATTCTGTGCGGTGTCAGGTCTGCTATACATGTTAACAAGCGACTGATCAAATAGAACATCATGCTCCTTCACTTAATCACTACAGCAGAGAACAGACTGTCCTCAGGCACCCCATGCCTGCAAATCGCAAACCAGAACATCTATTCTTAAATGTAGTCCCACATGCTGAAGAATCCTGAGTGCTCTAATAGCTACATTAACAACCAATTTACAATGATCAGACCAGGTCATAATGTGGCTCATTCACACTTGCTAGAAACTATATACATCTGTGCACATTCTCTGCAAACTAAAGGAATATGCTCAAGCCTTAAGCCTTTTTAAATACCAGGGTGCCTGAGCAGTCTACAGTTCCCTGTCTCCCCATGACAATGCCTTAACCAATCAGAGTCAATTGCCAACCAATCAGTACCCTTTTCCCCTGTTGTGCAGATTGGTGTGATTGCTTGAAATTTGGTATTCTTGCATTCGTCCTGATGAGTGCAAGGTGAAGAATGTCAGCAACATGTCTCTCATTTCACACTCTGTACTGCCAATCAAATGGTTAGAAAAGCATCACTGAATTAACAAGAAAGAATAATTCGGAATGGGTCATGGAAGGTGACCAGCAGTCAGTGCTTTGTAACAGTGACAAGCAGGCCGTGTCAGTGAGCTCTGCGCACTGGGACTGTGGTTTATGTACTGTCTCTTCCTAGGCCAACTCGTGAATGTAATGTTGATCGGGCTTTTTTGTCCTGCAGGTGATCCACTGGAATTCTCCCAAGAAACTGCGGGTGAAGAACAAGCACGTGGAGTTTTTCCGGAACCTGTATCTGACGTTTCTGGAGTATGATGGAAATCTCCTCCGTCGCGAGCTGTTTGGCTGCCCCAGTGAGGTAGACAAGAACAGTCAAAATGTAAGTGCGGAGAACGTCTCGAGGTTGCTTGAAGCAGCCCGATATCAGCGGAAATTGACTGGAAGTGTGTTAACTGGCTGGGAATGACTTATTCCAAAGTATCAGTGGGTAGCACTCTCACTCCTGATTCCAGGTCCAACTCCAACTCCAGTTTTAGTCCCAGAGCTAATTTGTCGCCAGAGAGGGAGGCAACTGGTGGTGGTTTAACCAGAAGGTCACCACACCTGAGGCAAAGGGGGAGAGGTTGAGAAGGAGAGTCCTTTATGGTAAGCTTAGCCAGTGCAGGAATTGAACCCACACTGTTGATATTATTCTGCTCCACTGAAATATGAGCACTTATTTCAGGCAGAGGGAGTGCTGCACTGCCAGAGGTGCTGTCTTCCAGATGAGATTTTAATGCTAGATCCCCACCAGCCCTCGCAAGTTGAAATAAAAGATTCCATGAGACTATTTTAACAGGAACGGAAAAGTCTCCCTGGTGTCCTTGTAAATACTAGCTCTGTTTGAAAAAAAAATCATTTGGTTTTTATCTCAGCCACTGCTGTGGGTTTTGTTGTGTGCAATTTGGCTGTTTTTCACAATACAGCAGTGACTGCGTGACAAATGTACTGGTTGACTGTGAAGTGCTTTGTGGTGCTTCGTGGTTGTGGAAGGTGCTGGATAAATGCGAGTCGTCCTTTCTCTGTGAGTTCTTCTCCATTAAAGCTTCCTCATGGCAAAGTCAATGGCAACCAAACTACCCAACTCATTCACAAGACAAAGGCTTGTCATAGCCCACCCTCACCTTACGATTCTCCTTTGTGAGTTCACTAGTTCCCACTGAGTTCAGTACAGTTGGAGTTTTGCTCACAATAAGCCACCAGAAACAAAATCCCGTCAAGTTGGACCGATGCCCAAGTGGATAAAACAGACCACTTGAGGATTTGTCAGCCTAAAGTACCCCAGATTTGAAAACTGACTTGTGACAAGTGACCTGATCAGCAGTCAGAATCTGACAGTGCTCCTTGCTTGAAAGAAGAGAAGCTCTCCTGGATTTTCAGTCTTGACGGTTGTCCCAAAAATTGTCGCTGAATATGTCCTGGTGGATCAGAGGCCTAGTTCCTGGATTTTGTCTAATTTCCTGGTAAATTGAGCCTTGGATTCTGGCTGGATTTCAGCCTGGATTTTTGAGCGGATCGCAGGATTTGGTGGATTTGGGCCTGGAGACTGGGTGGATTTGGGCCTGGAGACTGGGTGGGTTTGGACCTGGAGACTGGGTGAGTTTGGGCCTGGAGACTGGGTGGGTTTGGGCCTGGAGACTGGGTGGGTTTGGACCTGGAGACTGGGTGGGTTTGGGC